AGCACGTACTGAAGTTCAGGTGCAGATCTACAAAGTTTGGATTTATCCAGCTGTGTGTGGCTTGGGTCTGGCTGCTGTCCTCAGTTCCTTCCTGTTGCTGCCCTTGGGGGTGAACCTGTTGTCCCCCTCTGGCAAGATGTTCTGCTCCTGGACTAGCTGGGTGGTTCTGTCTCCTACACTCTCTGCAGGGATTGCAGCTGAAGGGTTTTACCCCAGGCCTGTATTCCAGGCCTGAGCTGAGTCTGGAGGGGACAAGGTGGAGTATGGGGGAAAGGCAGCTCTCCCACATACTCACCGGGCCTGGAGTAGGACTGGATCTGGGGGTTCCCAAAACACGACAGAAATTCCTAATGTGGGGGCGGGGTGTGAGGGGGTACTATGGAGTGATGGGGGCGTCCCAAGAGAGTGAAAGAGGGTGTTACCCATGCTGTGCTTGAGCTGGGACCAGTAGGTCCCGCCGGCACAGGGTAGCCAGAAGCTCTCCCACACACTCACTGGACCTGGGCTAGGACTGGGTCTGGGGTTTCCCAGAGTGCGGCAGAAATTCCTACTCAGCAAGGCGGGGTAGGGGAGGTGCTGCGGAGTGGTGCAGGGTGTCCCAAGGGGATGGAAGAGGGTCTCACCCACGCTGCACCTGGGCTGGAACCAGTAGGACCCGCCTGTGAAGGGTAGCCGGAAGCTCTCGGAAGCAGATGCTTTACACTGCTAAGCTTTTTCGCCAGCCCAAGTTGTTTTTATTTTTTAAAATAACTCTTAGGAAAAAATAAATAAATAAAATAACATTTAAGACTTGCCAGCCAGATAGCTCAGCAGACTAAAGTGCCTGCTTAGGCAAGTGAGGGATGGGGATTTGATACCTAGCAATACAGGTCGTGCCAACCACAAAACCAGGTGTGGTGGCACATGCCTGTAATCCCAGCACTGGGAAGGCTGAGAGAGGAGGATCACTAGAGTCCAAGCTGTGTAGTGAGACCCTGTACCAAATAAATAAAAGTTTAAAAAAAGCTTACTAGGCACTCACTCTCAGTCCATTATTCATTAATTCTTAGCTCCTCACAATCCCATGAGTCCAAAAGAAATAAAATGTGATGAATTAGGAGAAAAAAAAAAAAACCTCAAAAAAGTATGGTTGTTGGATTTTGAAGGCTGAGCAAAGGAAAATGCAGTGATGGCTGAGAGGCAATGATAATTAAAACATATTTGTTAAACATAACCGAGAGGCTCTTGATGGTGTTTTGAGACAGGTCTTACTATACAACCCAGGGCCTGAAACTGGGTGTGATCCTTTCAGCTGAGACTGCCAAGTGCTGAGATTACAGGCGTGTACCAGCCAGCCTGGCCTTAATGTTTTACTGGATGCTGGAAAAGACAAGGTAATGGAGTGCAGACAGCTGATGATGACTCTGAGGTTTTTAATTTAGATGTATTGGTGGGTGAGGATGCCATGACCCCGTGTCTATACAGTATAGATTGAATTCAGTAGAAAAATCAGGGTTGGGGCTGGAGAGATGGCTCAGTGGTCTAAAGCACCTACTTGAAACAAGCTTGGCAAAGCACAGGGACCTCAGTTCGATGCCCCAGCACCACATGCCAGCCAGCCCCGCCCCCTGGTGGGCTGAGCTGGCCACACACACACACACACAATAAATAAATTAATAATAATAAAAAAAAGAAAAATCAGGGTTATGAAATAGTGCATGAATTCAGACACGAACATGAGTTTAACATGTTTAGAGGAGCGGGTATGCTGGTGAATACCTGTAATCCCAGTACTCTGAAAAGCTAATGTGGGTGGATCTCAAATTCAAGCACAGCCTGGGCAATGTAGCAAGACTGTCTCAAAAAGGGGTGTGTGTGGCTTGGTGTGAAAGCCCTGCCCCAACCCTAGTACCACCCACGTATGTACAAAAAAACACTTATGGGACAATGCAATGCAAATGCCCTTTGCTCTGACTGGTAAATTGTGTACAGTACAGTTGGTTTGTTAGCATACATGTTCACTTAAAGTTGTTGCCTATTGACCGTAGGCAACACCACACTTCCTGTTCTCTTAGTAAATGGGTAATGATAGGTAAGTTATCAAATAGGAAAAATGGTAATTCTAATGCATACTTGCTGAGTTCTTTTTTTTTTTTTTAATTTTAGGGAAGGGTCTACAGGATGTTGAGGGTCTCACTAGTAGATCAGACTCATAGTGATCTGCCTGTTACAGCCTCCCAAGTGCTGGGATTACCGTCATACTACCACGCCTGGTGCTGTCTCAGTGTGCCCTGGGGGTGGGGCTGGCATGGCAGGCTCGGAGATTGAACCCCAGGCCCTTGCACCAGCTTGCAGGTGCTTTTCTTTTTTTATGGCAGAACCAGGGATTGAACTCAGGCCCTTGTGCTTGTCAGGCCAGCACTTATTCTACTGTGCCATCCCCCTCCCCCGGCCCCTGAAAGTGCTTTTATCCGCTGAGCTATTTGGTTGGCCCTCTGAGTTCTTTTACAAATACAATTACTCTTTGTGGTGGTTTAAAGACAAAAAGTCTGCATTAGGCAAATCAGGTGGGTAGGACTGAAAATTTGGTGTGTATACTACACGAATTCCAGAATTGTCAAAAAAAAAAAAAAAGTCAGTTTCTGAATGCAACAGGTGACCATTTTCATACAGATCATCTATATTGCATTTTTAATCTCTTTAAGGGGCTGGGGAGATTCTGAAACACACAGGGAGCTGGACTGACACTAGTGTAAGATGTGTGGTGACTCATCAAAGCAGCAAATGCTATGGAAGACAGAAACCTGACCATGGGACTACAGCCTGGAACACAACAATTATATTTATTCAGCACCCCATAGCATTCACTGGCCACATGTAGTAACTTTAATTTTTTTTTTTTTTTTTTTTGCAGAACCGGGGATTGAACTCAGGCCCTTGTGCTTGCCAGGGAAGCACTTATTCCACTGAGCCATCTCCCCAGCCCCCATGACTGCTTTGTTGAAGCAGTCATTTAAAGAACTGAGCTAAGGGGCAGGCCCCCAGTAACTTCAATTTAAAATTAAATTAAAAATTCTAGGGGCTGGGGAGATAGCTCAGTAGAATAAACACTTGCCTGGCAAGCACAGGGTCCTGAGTTCAATCCTTGGTACTGCAAAAATAAATAAATAAATAAATAAATAAATAAATAAATAAATTCTATTCCCCAGCTGCACTTGCCATATTTCAAATTCTGAACAACTTCATGTAGTAAGTGGGTACTCTACTGAAGAATAGATAAAGGAACATCTTGTGTATGTCAGACACATACTTTCCAATTCTTTGGTTCTCTATCCACCAATATGGACTCCTACTTCCTTAACTTTTTGGTATTGAGGAAGAAAATGCACTAACTAGAAAACAATACATTATGTTCTGCTTCATGATTCAAATTATCATTAAATTAATAACTTTGAGGGCCGGCCAGATAGCTCAGCAGATTAAAGCACCTCCTTAGACCAATGCAGGGGCCAGGGATTTGAGCCCTGGCCTGCCATGCTGGCCCTGCAGCATGGGGACGAGCTGACTGGGCGAGGTGGCATGTGCCTCTAATCACAGTGCTTGGGAGGCTGAAAACCAGCAAGGATTGCTACAAGTCTGATCTGTGTAGTGAGACCCTGTAGACCCAGTATACCCTGTACTAAATACATAAAACAAAACATAACTTTGCTTTCTGGTCTCAAAGGGTACTGGAGGTGTGTGTTTGGGAAGCTGAGTATGCCTGATCTTCAGCACATCTACACATAGGGAAGGTCTTAAGTGGGTGAGAAAAAGTTACAGAATGTAGAGGTGGGAGACACATGAGTGATTACTACTCTCCCTCCTCTGGTCACTTTCCTCTTTTTCATCTGCTCACCTAGGTGTGACTGAGGTCCTGCCCTTATGTAACACTCTGCACTCCCTCTGTCATAGCCCATGCCACACATTATCTATTCACAAAGTGATTGATGCCATTAGTTGCAAACAACGCAATGACAGGGGCTTCTCTTTATTCCCAGTATCTGACACAATGCCTGGCACATAGAAAATTGTCAAAATGAAGTTACTCATACCAATAACTTATATGATACAAGTTCAATCCCAGGTACCACAAATAAATAAATAAATAAATAAATAAAATTATGCAAGTTAGTTTTCAGGGCCTGGTTAGTACTTTCTGGTGAAGATACAAAAGTACACACTAGGAAAAAACTATATACCAAGCCATAGTAATACCATCAGGCTAACTTCAAAGGCTAGCAGCAGGGAGAAAGAGAGAGGTGGATGATAAGAATTCCTTACCATTGCCCAACTTAGGACTTTCAAATTAGGGAAACAACATTTATCAAACAACTGACACTGGGCTGGAGAGATGGCTCAGTGGTCTAAAGCACCTACTTAGAACAAGTTCAGCGAAGCACAGGGACCACGGTTCAATCCC